CTGTATATCTAGTGCACATTGATTTGATTTGTTTTTGTTGTGTAGCAATTCCATTTTGTAGTCTCAATTCCAACTCCCATTAGTACTTTCCCCTGACTGCTGGGCCCAAACCTCATTAATTTACCAAACAGGTCCAAACGCCATCACCATCAAAGACAATGGAGATACACCAGGTGAGAATTTGGCCCATTGTCTGTACTATTCTCAGAGAGGTGTGTTAATTATCTGTCTTCACTGCTAGAAGTGGGTATTGGAGAACAGGTTAATGACTGCTGATAGGTATCCAAAGTGTGAAGCCTTATCTGAAGTTTAGTCAAACTGTTTGAACCACTGAAATCTGAAAAACTGCTCTGGAAACCTTATGAGAACCACAAACCTCATAGTATTTTCAGCACATCCAATCCAGGCTGGATCTAGATACATCAGACTATTGTGGGCTAAGATGGAAGGGCACACTGAGAAACTTGGCTAGCATTTATTTGAACTCTGCCAGGTTCTAATCAATGCTTTAAATCCCTTCTATTAAATCCTTCCCTTTAAAAATGTTTTGCTACTGTATTGTTGCAAGTATGTATTAGGCCATGTCTACACTGCCACTTATGTCGGTAAAACTTATATCACTCAGGGATGTGAAAAAAGCACACACACCCCGAGCGATATAAGTGGGTGTGTGCACAGCACTATCTCCTGCTGATATAGCTACCACTGCTCGCTGAGGTGGTTTTATTATGTCGGCGGGTGAGCTCTCTTCCCATCAGCATAAAGCTGCTACACAGTGATCTTACAGCTGCGTCGCTGTAAGCTCGCCAGTGTAGACATGGCCTTAGTGTGCATAAGGCCAGAAACCCCTCATTGATAAAGCCTCTGCTCTCCATTCATCCTCCTCCTCGTAAGCAATGAAAATAATTTAGCACAGTTACTCCAATAAGATAATGCTTAGCCGCAGATCAATGAGGTGGGAAAGCACTGAATTATAAACCACAACAATATGGTTAATGGTGGCTGAATACAGGAATCCAGTGATTCTAGTTCAAAGCACAAATTGCTTCTCTATGCCTGGCAAAAATCAACAAGCCTTTTAAGAAATAGATTGCAAGTGGTGACGGGTAAGTGGTCCTTTCTCATGCAATATTCTGCATGCTGTCTCCTGCATGCTAAAAGAATGAGCAGCGAAAGAGTGGGAGGTGGTGGTGACTAACATACAATAAATGATGGCAGGAAGTGTCCCAGCTATAGAGATAACAGTGCTTCTTTCTATTTAAGTCTGCCAGCCTGTTTTTGGATGGTAGCTCTGTCTGAAGTTGGCCGACTCTCTCTTCCCCAGACCATTATCCCTTTGTTGTTAAATATTGAGGTTAAATGCAGTTCCGCTGTGCTTCTCCCCCGCTATCTCAGAGCCCTTTTACACTTGTTTTAATTTTCTGTTTTCCCCTTTTCAGTGTGAGTTTGCTGTTCTCTGAGGCAAGGAAACTATGTGTTGGACAAAGAAGCAGATTCACTGCTCTGGGACTGTACGTAAGATAAAAGAAGAAAAGTGTGGCTGCACGTCTCATGTTCTTGACTGTCATAAACAAAGTGAGATACAGTGTACTATTTAATCCCCTTACGCTTCTGGTTATGCTCCACTCTGTTAGATATGGAGACCTAAACGTTTGGGTGGGAGAGGGAAGTGACATTGCTGCAGAGAATGAATTAGAAAAAATACAGGGGCTTCTTGCAAGTTCAGATGCTTCAGAGTTTGTTTTTTCCCCGCTGTTCAAAACACTGGCCCCATTGATATCAATGGCAAAACTCCCAGGATTTCACTCAGAACTCAGCAGCTCCAGAATTAAAAAACCCAAACATTTAAAAATCATGTCAGCTCACCCCAAAATTGTGGGATTTTTTTTAATCTCATGATTTTTAAGCCAAATACATTTGGGGTTATTTGGTTTTGTCTTCTGGTTTTTGTGCCTTTAGGGTACTCTTGGGTCATGTTTTCAAGATTTGGGGTAAAGTTTTGAAAACTGTCAAAGTAAGTTAGGAGGTTTACTCCCCAAAAGAGACAAAGTCAATGGGAATTAGGTGCCTCCACCACGTTACCCTTTCCCCCAACTACAAGAGCTAGAAACTGTCTTTAAAATATAAATAAGCAGAAATTCTCCATAATCACTTGTCTCCACAAGCTGGGGCTTTAATTAAAACACCAAATGCTTGCGATTAAAAAAAAAAAATCACAAGAGTTGGCAATGTTGCATTTTGCATTCCTGCCTTATCTGGCATTTTGGATCTAGTTTTCGCTGGTTGATCCAGTGAATCTGCCTTGGTTTAGATTGGTATGGGAAAAGATTTTAGATTGTATCTTTCCTGTACACTCCCCTAGTCCTACATTCAGGCCAGATGGCATGGGTGGCAGGTGAACCAGCCCTTGGGGGATGCACGCCCCCCCCCGCCACGAGCCCAGAACACCCACACTGCAGCCGCCCCCTGCCCCGCTCCAGCCCCAGAGTGCCGGGTGGGCAGCCCCATCGCCCCCAGCCCAAGCCCTGGAGTGCCAGGCAGGCGGCACGGCTTCAGTGCCCCTAGCCCCGGAATGCCGGGCGGGCAGCGTGGCTGCAGCGCCCCCATCCCCAAAGTGACAGACGGGCGGCACATGGGCAGGACCATGCCAGGCTGTTTGGCAAGGCTCAGCCTCCCCCAGCGTATGATACCCACTGCCCATGCCAGATGGGTTTGTTTTGACTCGAGGAGCATGTTGCGGCATGACTATGGTTTGCCTTTCCTAAAGATATAATGTCAGTGAAAAATGGGCTATAGGTTGAACAATTTGAAAATATTTCATATATAAAATGTTGATCAAATTTCCATAGTAAATACACACTTAAAGACAGAGTAGTTAAAATGTGGGTTCTGCCATGAATCTGCAGCAGCAAGGGAAGCCCCACAGTGTGTGCAGGGCTGAGGGCACCTGCTACCTTCAGATCGGAGAAACTGCTAAACCAGCTCAGATCTCATAGAGGAGCTGGGAGATCAATAAAGGGAAGTGGTAGGGGGTCAAAGATTAGTGAGGAGCACTGGAGTGAATGAATGACTCCGCCCACACCAGGAGATCAGCCTGGCACGTAATGAGATCAGTGGGAGTTAGGCACCTAGTCACTTCTGAAAATCCCACTAGATAAACGCCTAAATATCTTTGAAAATCTGGCTCTTAAAGCACAGAAGTTAAGGAGAGAAGCACGGCCAGAGAACAGAGCAGAGGAGCCGGAGGAAAGAAAAGGGTTGGGGGCTAAGAAAGAGGAAGGACTGAGAAGCAGGAAAAGATAAGGCAGGAAGCTAACACCAGAGCTTTAAATACATTTTTGATAAGCAGCCTATTTGTGGGAGAATGTTCCGAACTCTTGATCATACTTCTCCAGAAAATATGAGCGCATAAGTGTTACGCAATATCCCTGCTTTCTGCTGGAAATTTTCTTTTAAAACCTCTCTTTTAATCTTGAAGACTACAAACTTGAGACTATAGCTACATAAATGTGCAGTTAGCTTGAGACCACTAAACTAGCGGTTGCAACAGAATGTCTTTGTCAGCGAACTTCACTGGCAAACAAAAGATAACAAGTATCAGCCCCCTATTGTGGTTTTTTAGGTTTATTTTAAATACATGCATGGGTTGTATTTTTAATACTCTCTGTCCCTTGAAGATCACCCCTTTCCAGGAATTTCAGATTAATTTTCTGGGGGGGAAATGTGACCTCTTGAAACAGTCAAGAATACCAAGTTTTATGTGCTGTTAGCACTGAGAACGTCATTAATTCTGCTCTCCATCAAAGAAGGCTGCACAGGAGGCAAACAGTCATCATATCCAACTGACTTGCGTTGCTGTAGAAAAGGTCAGCTAAAGTTCAAATCCCTCCTGATGAAGGAGCAATCTAGAAAGCCTTTACTTGTTTGTCACGTAGAATAATACGAGCAGCCTCTTCCAAAGACTGTGCTATGAACCTAATGGTTAAAAATTACATTAAGGCTCACTGCCTCCAACAAAGGCTATAGGGTTGATCTCGTATATGACCCTGCGGTACTGTGGCATCTCATTTGAGTCAAAGATGAGTGTTGCACAGTTCACATGCAAGTTAGGTAAATTGCCATTTTCCCCTTCCTGTCAGTGTGTGCACACTGCACATTTAAGGAGATGATCCAGATAGATAAAGAAAAGGCAGCGTATCTCATTCCCAGAAACTGGCCCCGACAAGCAGCTTACATATTCTTTTAACTAGGAAGTTTTGAAATCTTGGAACATAGCTGATTGTAATCTTTAGTCAGCCTTAATTTATGGAACCATCCCTTCCACAGAAGTTCACCGCAAGTCTTCCTGGTCACGGTTATGTCACATAGATGAGCTGTACTTAGCTACCAAGGAGAGCAAGATAAGCATCTATAAGCAACTGATAATGTAAACAAAGTAGGGAAAGGGCTTGCTTATGCTGGTCAAAGAGAGGATAGTTAGGAATAATGGCACAAGACTGAGCAAAGGTGACTATTTGGAGGAAACTTTGAACAATTCAGTTTATTAGCCTTTGGAATTATTACCTAGGAAAGTTGTGGAGGTCATGGTGCTTGAATAATTTATAACTGGACAAAACACTTACCCATAGTGTATGGGACAATCCGCACCAACATGGGGATGGATTAAGGGCCAGAACAGAAGCCCATTTAAAGCAATAGGAGGCTTTCAGTTGACCTGATTGGGCTTTGGATCAGGCCTTTAGTGATTTAATAGGTCTTTACCTCTCTCTAATTTCTATGGTTAAATATATTTTCTAGGGAAGTGGTTGTCAACCTGGTCTATAGAGAACTCCTAGATGGTCCCCAGAGCTGCTTCCCACACAATGGGGGAGGCATGCCCAACTGAAACCAGAGGCAGACCCCTTATCCTAAGAAACTTTCGGTTGTGTAGTAGGCCTCATTCTTCATGCACAGTTCCCTTTGACTGATGCCCCTTTATGCTTCTCTGCCTGTTCCTGAAGAGAAACTGGAGCCTGTTCATGAGTCTCTTTCTTGCCTGTTTGTTTCTTTGCTAATTCTCCAGTTTTGTTGTCATGTGAAAATTTGATCAAGATTGAATTTACACCAGTCACAGAAGAGGATGGCACCAAGTGACCTGGAGAGATTAGATCAGTGGGGGCTGCTGGAAATCATGAGGGAATTGCTCCTAACAGGTATGAAGTCCTATACCCTCAGGGAGAGAAAGCAAAGAGCACAGATACAAAAGTCAGCAGTAAGAGAGAGGGTAGAAATATATCCAGGCAGCTGTAGTCATTGTGTTAAGTGAAACAACAAGGAGTCCAGTGGCACCTTAAAGACTCACAGATTTATTTGGGAATAAGCTTTCATGGGTAAAAAACCCTTTTGCTGTTTTTGTGGATACAGACTAACACGGCTACCCCCCGTGTTAAGTGAGTTTATTTTTATTGTTTCTCCTTAATACTCTTAACTACTTTTCCATCTTACTTAGCACTATATTTGCTGCAGAGGTGTAGAACTGAGTGTGCTCTTCAAGCAATCCAACCTCCCTTCTTGATGATTTTCCCATGTCTCTCTGTCAATCAGTCTTGTGCTGAGTTTAGAAATATGCAGATATAACAATATCTTCCCAAGAAAGGGAGGCCAGAATAAGTAAAATACAAAGGTGAACCAAACTTATAGGCAGGTCACATTGTTTTTAGACATTTAAAGAGTCCGAGAACTTGCAGGGCATAGATTGCTTATTATTAGCAGGAGAGGGTTGGCCAACTGGGTAAATGTGTGGGCTCAAACACTTAATAGGCATAGATTATGGAATCATAGGACTGGAAGGGACCTTGAGAGGTCATCTAATCCAGTCCTCTGCACTCATGGCAGGACTAGGTATTTTCTAGATCATCCCTGAGGTGTTTAGACCTCCAAAAATCTTTCAAAGGCTGCACAGGACTTCAAAATTCACATTACCTTTCATTTGTACCCAGCTTGTATACTTTTGAAACGTACACTGCCTTTGGTAACAAACTCCTGTTACTGGAATGCCTCAGAACAGAGCCAAGTAGTGACTATTAGGAAACAAAGAAAGACTAGATCTGAAGCTGGGCTGCGCCATTTGGAACTTCACTCTTTGGGGTGGGTGCCAGTGTTAGGTGTTTTAAATGGAGGGGTGCCTTCCATTTTCAGTTCTGAACAGGAGAGATGGGATGTAATGGAATGCTCAGTTTAATAGAACCGTTTTCTTTCCAATTTGTGTCTGCATGACTAATAATAAGTGATACATGATCTTTTTAGATGAATTTATGGCAGCTTGAGTGCTCAGCACCACTGAAAGTTGAGCCATCAGTGTTTGTGAAAGGTGGCAGATTGATAGCTCTGGTTACTGATCAAAAGCACTGACTCCAAGAGAAACTTCTCAGTGCTGGCCATAATAGTGCGGGCTTTCTCCTACTGCCCAGCAAGCCTGACCTGGAGAGGTTTCCTCACGGAGTGACTTTCAGAGTAGTTCAATCTCCATTCCTCCCCAGTCCAGATTCTCCCTGCTGAACTTGCCAGCATGGTACCCGTTGTAGCGTATTAGACAGGGACTCACCAATTCAGTTCATCTAGAGTCACTAGCCAGCAGATGGTAACTACTTTTAAATACTGGTTATCAGGGCTGGATCTGACCTGCCAAACCAGAAACAAAAAGGCTTCCTAGCACATTACTAATCCATTTACCCATTGAGTCCCCTCTTGTGCCCGTGTAGAGGAGACTTCTAGGTATGATATTCTCAATGCGAGTCAATGCGAGTATATATTTTTTCCTTCTGGCCTGGCACCTCTCCCACCCCAGAAGCAGTCTCAGCGAGTTACCAGGCATGCATGACAGCAGATACCACATAAAGGAACAGTTTCTGCAGACAGACATGTTTTGAAGGCTGAGGGGAATGTAGTATTTTCCTGAGGTTTGTCTGGAGTTCCTTTGAATGCTCAGTGTGGGTTCCCTGTTACTTTACACAGGTGCTGACATTATCCTGTCTTGTATCTGCCAGCTGGAGACCAGACAGAAGCAGAATTGATCAATTAACAGTGTTTCCACCATCCGGTGGCTGGGCTTGCGGTGTGTGCCCAGACTTGAATCAGCAGCACTATCAGGTAAGCCAAATACGAGCCTCCCTGTGCCTAGGCTGGTAGGAACTGAATAACAAGCCTCTCAGCTACAACTCACTCTTTGTGAAACTTGCATTACGGCTGGCTGATTTCCAGATTAGTTGAAGACATTTATCACATTCATGCTTTCAGTTAGACCTAGGCTCATCAACAGGGCAACTGGAGGGAAGAATATGCTTAATCTAAGTGCTATATGTATGGTGCATATGTATCAATACACCTGAGTTGGGCAAATCATTCATAAGGAATAATTCAGTGTAATCTGACTTCTTATACACAAGCAGTTTCTGATCTCCCTGAATTCATTGGTTGGGTAATTTGGCCCTGGGTTTGGGGCTCATTTCTGATCCTTTTGTTGCAAATATTTAATATTTGAGCTTTGTTAATTGGACAATTAGGGCCCATGTTTCTGATCCCTGACTGAATGAGCATAACTCCATAGAACCAGGTTTCTGAGACACATGTCGATGAAGTCATTTTCAGGGACTATTCTGCAATATGTAATTACTTCTAGTTATTTCAGTGAATATTCCTGCTAGTAAACTTGCTTGCTAAAATAGATAGGACAGCAAGCACACAATGAGCATGACTAGCCAAAGCCCACATCTGTTCAGGACTTGGAATTTTTCCCCCCACCTCTTACAGATGGGCAGAAGGTATATATTTATCTACATTAATGGATGCTCTAAAAAGAGTTACATTCAGAGAGGTATGACTGGTTTAGAAAAATAGGCTTGCGTAAGACCCTGACCAGATTTAGAAACCACGTACTTTCCTTTGACTATTATGAGGTTATCATCCTCTGTCCTATGTGTCATAAGTATTTATTGTATTTATCCCTCACTTATACAGCACCACATCATAGATATAAATATTTCTCAGCCTCTTTTTCTAAAAATACTGACTATAGCACCCACCAGCAATCTGTCCTCTGAAAAGAGTCCCTTCTGTTACCCCGAAACACATTTCTCTGGGTAGGAATAAATATAGTCTGGAGCCAGAACTATGGGCTGGCACCACCAACAGGTGGACCCTTGACCCGGGATTTGTGGCCGAGTTGGATGTAGGGGACAGGTGAATTCATTTTAGCCAATTTCAAACCCATTTGAATGTTGTGGACAAAGCTCTGTTGGTGTAAATTGTTGCAGGTCCATTGCGTTTGTACCTAGGAATTGGGTCAAGGCCCACCTTAGGATATTAACAAGAATGTCACTATTTACAGAATAGGGAGGAAGGAATGTTTATACTGTTCTGTACAACAAATACAATTATACTCTATCACTCTGTAATAAAGCAGCATTGACTCCCACTGGGATTTCCCTGGGATGGTTAGGAGATAGTTACATGGAGTAGCTGTTTCTCATGCCTGCTCCCCTCTGGCCTGACAACCCCCCACCCCCTCAACCTGTGACATCCTGACAGTGTAGCATTCATATGGGGGAACTGCTGTCTCCGGGTGAGGGAGGTAGTTCCCCTTCACTTAGCAGTTTTGGGGCTATTCCATCAGGATTCCCCACTCCTTTGCATTACATAGCTGAGGAGATGTAAGGTCAGCATTTCTTGGGCCAGTGTAGACAAGACTGATCTGTTGTGAACCATGTCTGAGAGATTTACAAAGCCATTCTACAGACTAAACACATGGCAAGCACTTTAAGCCTACACTGACTCAGGAAAGCCATGCTAGCACAAGCACTGCCTCTTCACACTGGCAAAAGGAGGAGAGAGGTTCGTGGCACATCCATACAGGGGTCAGCCACAATCTGCCCTGTAAGGTTTCGTCTGTAGTCCAGGCCTCAGATTCTCGTTTATGCTTCTGAAATGTGTCAACAGCATGAAAATATGTCCATGGGTCTTAAAATCTGCCTTTGTTCCAAGAACTTCAGGCAAGGGAGCACAGCACGTTTAAGCTGTTTATCACAGAGAAGGTCTTCTGCCTTCATGCACATTTGTTTATAGAACAGACTCAATGTTTTGTGCCAGAATAGGAGATAAATTTGTATCTTCTTCCATTTTCTCTTCCCAGAACTTATTTTTGCCTTACATTCATAAATCCTGCTTGAATCCTTTCTGGTAGCTACTACATCACTTGGACATTTAAATGAATAACTGTTTGAATTAACTGCTCGTGTTAGTGCCTAAGCTTACATGCCTGATATTTAATGGTCCCTACATAATCTTTACTCTACTTCTCAGCTATCCCATAAAATACTTGTTGATGAAGAGGAGTTAGATGGCTCAGAGAATGGCTAATGCTACATGATGCCTTTCACCTTCAGGTTAGGTTATAGGTTCCAAAGGAAGCTAGTTCAGCAGTGACCCAACCATCTAACTGTCCACTGGCTGTACAGTGGCTGGTATGAAATAAAAAGGGGTGAATTCAGTTCCTGTGGATTACATGAACCAGAACTGCAGTGATCTGCAATAAACCAACCTCTGTAGATTTACCTGGAAGCCATATCCCCAAGCTGCGCTCCTTCCTCAATCTAAATATTTGTAGTTTTCTTGGGAGTTGGAAGAAAGGTAGCCCGATTTCTCCTCCGCTCCCTTTAGTTCCCACTTGGGGTCTCAGGCAACCATTCCCAAGCTTCCCATCTTTGGAGAGGGGACATCAGGTAATGCTGTCCTTCCCACACAAATACATGACTCCAAAGGATATCAAGAAGGATAGAAGACAGCCTGAGGACTTGGAAATTTACTGAAATAGTTATTCCGTAGGAACTCGCCACATGGACACTTATTCTGTATTGCGTGTCTTTTCCCACTGTAGCTTAATCCACTTCCACGCAGACCTTATACCAAAATAAATACTGTATAATAATTATTCCAGAATAGCTATTTTGGTAACTTTCCAAGTGCAGACAAGCCCTGAATTTCCCACTCTCCCCCTGCCTCCCATAATGTGAAGTGGCCTCAAAGTGGTTGTAAATATTACTACACCCTCTTGAGATCACTAAAGGCCGCTTCACAGCACTCTAGCAAAGACTATGAGAGGGTCTAATTCTCAGAAACAGAAAAATGTTTAAAGAGGTTATGACTGGGGATGAGCCTGAGCACCAAAGCTCTATTGTGAATCCAAACTTTCCCAGAGTTTAAATGTGGCCACTCTTGAATTTGGATTAGGGCCCACAATGTTGAAGATTCATAGAGCTTAAATCAGAAAGTATATGGTAACACTGCTACAGGCCCTGAGCAGCCTCTTGTGGCCAGGGGTAGCTTTGCAGGCAGCTGCCTCAGTTTCCCCTCTTGGATTATTCACTGAACTCAAAACCCACTTTTCTCCATTCCCATCCTTTCTTGAGTTGTGCTTTGTTAAATCAACAAACAAATTCAAGACAAATTGTTCAAGTCCATCCAAAAGCACACACAACCGATTTCTCTTCCTCCTCTCAGGCCTTCCTGCGTGGGATCTTTCCTGCTTTGACAGGCCACTCTCAGACCCTACCTAGCTGGAGTCTCAGCCCTAATTCCCAGGACTCTCTGTTAGAGCCCGCTTTCTCCTGGTGGTCTCGAATCCCTGAACATTCCCCCCTTCAGTGCTGTCCCCTGCTGTTCTTTATAGGGCAATCGCCCTGATCTCTCCCAAGCGTGGCTCATTCTGTAACTAGGATTGGCTAGCCCCAGCCCTCAAGTGGTGAGCCACTCCTCTGCAGGACCACTAGGTCATCTAGTATGATCTCCTGTATATCGGAGGCCATTCTTCAACCAGTGACCCCTGTATTGAGCCCAGTAAATTGGGTGACACTAAACTAAAACATAAAATCAAGACTGGATGCCTCTCTAGAAGTTATTGCCCCTTCTTGAGCTGAGTGACTAGTCAAAGTTTGGGGCTTTGTAGGTTGTTCCAGTTGGGAGTAGAAATTGATGATGGAATCTGGTATTTTTTATTAATTATTAAAGCTTGTCTATTTACAAGAAATGTACAAAGTCCTGTTTCTGCAAATGCAGGAGGAACCGAAAATAAAAGGAGTAGTTTCTTAGCTTACAGGCCCAAGCTTCTCTCAGCCAGCACCAGGCCCCAAAATAACTCTCTCTAGCCTTCTCCCGATGCCCCATCCATGTTTACAGGCTGCTGCTTGGACTTCCTCGGCTGCCTTCAGTCTCTTAGCTGTGTCCTGTTGTGTCACCCCCCACCCTCCAGTTTATCTTTTGTCAGACATACCCATCCACTTGTCAGAACAATTCTCAGTGGAATTCTCCACCCACATGGTGCTAATTTCTGGGCAGACTCTTTTAGGTGGGGCTCCTTAAATGTCTCTGACAGCTATTTTAAATGAAGGGCGTGGGTGTTCACACATCAGTTTCAATGGGGTTTTAATTTAACCTGTAGCACTTTAACCCAACCCAGAGCAAGCTTTAAACCAGTTCATAACAATTTGAAGACATGAAGAAATGGCGAATCTACCACTTCTCTTGATAGACTGAACATCTTCATTATAATAGGAGCATGAAGATGAGATAAGAAACAGAGGCAAATAAAACTGTATAAAAAGAGGCAGCAATTATTTGCATTCTTGGGAAGGGGTTAGCTCTGCTGCTGCTCTCTGTCCATCTTCAGTTGTGTACATCATGGGTACAAGTAAACTCTTAAGAGCATTCAGTCATCAGTAATGAA